GATTACGTCTGTTTTTTATGAAGGCATAGCAGCCACATTGCGTGTGTGTGTGTAATATACACGACACGCGAGGGGGCAGGTGGCCAACACCACGCCCGGCCGCTTTTGTTTCCCCAGTGCTGATATTTGCGCATCGCAGCATTCAAGGCTGAGTCGACCGAGGGAAGCCCCATGACCGGTTCAAATATTCACTGTCACTTTGAGCGGGAATCGAACTCGAGGGCACCGGGTTCACGGTGCAGTGCACTAACCACTGCACTACCGCTCCCCACATGCACAGATACACATATAGTACACACACATACATAACAGGCGTATCGTGTATCGTGTACTTTACACACACACCAAAGCCAAAGTTCCCCTATGTAGCCTCCACTGACTGTTGGGGGTAAGTGCTTTTTCGCGAGCATGGATAAAAGCCAGGGAATGACGCCCAAGAGGATGATGTGGCCAGAAACCAAACCCGGACGCTTTTATCTCCTCCCCGTAATGATGTCGAAGCCCAGGACCGGTTCACAACTGGCGGCCGAGTTCATAGGCGCATTGCGCTAACCGCTGCGCCACCGCTCCCCAATGACACATATACGTAGACGCCACACAAATAAACATACAAAGATAGAGATCCCCTGAATAGACGTTTGGGGCAAGTGCTGCTAGGGAGCACGACCAGTACCACGCTCGGCCGATGTTTACACATCGCACCAGATACTCATTTGAGGCTGAGTCGACCTAAGAGAGGTCCAGGATTGGTTCAGATAATCACCACCGATGTTGGTCGTGAGCGGGAATCGAACTCGGGTAGTTGGGTTCGTAGCGCAGTGCGCTAACTACTACAGTACCGCTCCCCATCCCACACAGACACCAACACACTCATCTGTTTATAAAGAGTTGCGAGCAACGTCTATGTAAATTGCGAAATAATCCGTTGACACAGTATGGTCGATTCCCATGCGTCAAGATATCCACATTGAGACATTGACAAAGACAAATATCCTCCGTATAGCCGTTAGCAGGAAATTGGGGCAAGTTGTTGGTGTGGCCGGAACCACGCCCGGCGGCCTTTGTCTCCCCAGTGCTGGTGTTCACTTAGGGAAGTCCCAAGACCGCTTCAGATGGAACTGAATCTCAGGTAAGCTGAGTTCGTAGCGCAGTGCGCTTAACCACTGAGCTGCCGTTCTCCACACTCAACCACCGCTCGACAGAATCGGAAAGTCACGAGTTCACATACAATTCGGGGTTTGCGACCTCGCCCATCATCTTCCGTGGTCGATAAAATTGCGACCACGCTGGTGGGAAGTCAAGCAGCCCGTCCTGCGGGCAACTGGCGCCCATACAATCGGAGTATGTTTTGTTCCATACCAAATGGTGGTGACGTCACCGCTGCGTTGGTACCAGGCTAGGTGCATTTTGTAGCGCACATTTTACACACACACAGACGCGTGTCTGGATGCATCGGAGTCGGCTACCCCCCCCCCACGCGCCCGTCGCCCCTCCCCCAACCCCCCCCCTACACAGGCCGGGGTCGTGGTTCCAGCCGCGTGCGGCGGGAGCCACCAACCCCCTCCCCCCTCCACCGAACCCCCCCCACCGCCGCCCTTCCGGTGCCCCCCGGGGCACGAGTTGGCTAAGCGGAGGGGGTGAGGGAAACGGGGGTTCGGGAGGGAGAGAGGAAGGCAGGGAAGAGATTGGACCCCTTCTTAAACCCTACACCTCGATCCTCCTGCTAACTCTACCCTAACCCTACTCTGAGCCCTAACTCTACCCTTAAACTTACCCCTAACTCTACCCTTAAACTTACCCCTAACTCTACCCTTACCCCGAACTCTGCCCTAACCCCAAACTCGACTCATATCCTTAACCCACCTCAAGTACTGACTCCGGCCCCTAACTCTAAACCTAACTGTGTTAATAACCACTAACCGTAACCACTAAACTTAACCGTAACCATTCGCCCTTACCTGGTATATTTGTACCTCTACCCATAACCCTAACCTCACCCCATCCCTACCTCTCTCTACTCCTCACCCTAACACGATCCAGCCATACCCTACACCCTCTCGCCCTATCCATACCCTTAACCCTAACTCGAACTCCTAAACCCTAACCCCTGCACGTGTAACGGGGTGCGAAGCCGAACCCATCCCTCCAGAACTAAAGTGACTTCGCGAATTTCACTCGGGAAATCTTTTGTGTGGGGGGGGGGGGAGGCGTGAGTTGTCGGGAGCGGAATCACACAACAATGCGGCTGGGTGGGGGGGGTGGTGAAGACAAAGGCGGTAGGGAGGAGAGAGTGAAGCGAGGGCCAGGATGGATGGTAGCGGGGGGCGGGGAGAGAGGCATGGGTGCGTCCCACCTTTAGGTTGTTTTCGCCCGACCCCAAACAAACGCCGCCGGCGGGCTGAAGCTATTGTTTTTTAGCGTTTGAGAGCCCCCCACCCACACCCCCACCTCACCCCGGTGCCCCCCACCCAAGCTTACCGCCCTCCCACCGCCTCCCCCCAGCTCACCCCCGCCCCCCCCCCGGGCGAGCTGGCCAGATGCCCGACCACGTGCGGGACGCGCAGGAAACGGAACCTGCCTCTCGCCAAAAGCGGAATTTGGGGCGAACGGGCGGAGAGCAAAGCTCGTGGGGACACCCTGCACCCTGCTGCTGTTGCACGCTCCTGCTGCACTTTCCTGCGTACTCCTGATGCACCCCCTTACACATTCCTACTGAGCAATGCACCCTCCTCCACACTCATACTGCACGATGCACACTCCTGATTCTGCACACTCTCTTGCTGCACGCTGCTGCTGCACCCTCCCGCTGCACTATGCACCCTCCCGCTGCATACTGCTGCTGCACGATTCCGCTGCACACTCCTGCTGGATCCTGTAGCCTTCTGCAGCCTTCCTGCTGCTGCACCCTGCGATCGCCACGCACACTGCCCCACCACTGCACGATGCACCCTGAATCCTACCTCACGCGCCCTGCACCGTGCCCCCCCCCCCACCTCATCCTCTCTTGCACTTGCATGGCTGCGCTGGTCTACATCTCATACATTGCTGCACTCCTTACACAGACCGTCGGGCGCCCCCCTGCACGTGTTCTCTCAACACCCCCCGTTCCCAAGATGCCCCCCCCCACTGCAGGGTTTCCACCCCCCCCCCCCCGCGAAGCGATGCAGACGTTGCGCCATCGCGAAGTGGTGGGTGGGATGCTGGAGGGGATCCCACGTGGAAGGAGCGCTGACACTGACACTGACGCACGGACACGTGTACATACATATGCACACGTACGCACACGTGCACGTACAACAGACGCCGTTCGCCGCTAAGTTGCGGCGACGTCACCACAGCGCTTGTGCCAGGCTAGGTGCACTTCGAGACTTGAAGGCTCTCGCTGGCAGGAAGTCACGGAGCAGACCCAGGTGTTTTGGGTTGACTGACTGAGATGACTGGCAGATGCACCACCTGTGCTCCATACTGTGCCAACGCATTCCCGTGCACATAGATTCCTCCGTGTAGCCTAGTTTAGGCTATGGGGGCAAGTGCTGTTAGCGAGCACCTATTAAAGCTGCAACGGCGCACGAGGTGGTCATGTATCCATGGTTGCACACCCCCGCACCAGGTACTCATTCAAGGCTGAGTCGACTTAGGGGTAGGCCAAAGTCCGGTTCACATATCACTCGTCACTGATGTTTGCCGTGGCTGAGAATCGAAGTCGATTGAACATACCGGTCAATAACATCGTGCGTGTGGTTTTAAAAGGGAAAATAATAGGCGACGTTTCGGGCAAAGGCCCCCTTCATAGCACAAAACAAATCATGTATTTTTTTCCACGTGATTTTTACGAAGGACTATTGCCCGAAACGTCACTTATATATTTCCTATGAAGGCCACGGAGCGTGTTGGGTTTGTTTTATTGACTGTGCTTGTGCACCACTGCCAACCCAGCAGCAGCAGCAGCGTCACTAACTGGATTGATGTGATCTTTGGGGCGACGGGAAGGAGCGAGCACGAGACGAATCTCTGTCATCGATTCACTAATTGATTCGTGACCGGATTCGTGACTCTCCAATGGGTTACACATCTCACGCTTCGTCAACAAGACTCGGGGTAGCGGGTAACACGCCTCCTTCACATCGCTGTCCCTCCACACACACACACATAATTAAAACACGTATATTTCTACGCATCCCACAGCCACACGCGCCTTCTGGAGAGTACATCATTTCAGAAGCATTGGTTCAATGCAAGCAAAACTCTCGAACGGTTTCGACACTCAGTGTCTTATCAGCAGAGTCAGGCTTGCCGGAACCAATGCTGGTGACCTGCCATGTGTTTATCATATAGGCTGGGACCCACTCTATTGCGTTAACTCCGATTAGCACGGCTGCCAACGTACGGTGAGAAAAAAATGCAACCATACAGCCGCACAAACTCAGACTTCACCCGGTGGGTAAGCGCCGTAGCCGAGTGGCGATGCATCGTCCTCAACTGTAAGGGCTCACAACTTCACAAGACGTTGACGGAGAAACAGAGCCGGAAGTTTACCATAAAGAGTTCGGTTCAGGCGGAAGGGTTTTTTTTTAAGGTGAAATGTCTTCGACGGGGAAACCGCGTTAACGGGCACAGTGACTCCATAACTCCGCACGGATGGATTTCACATCCGCAAGTCCTGCGCTCGGGAGTCTTAACCCGCTCGCCTGAACGTGAGAAGAGCGACGTGCCACGCATGCGAGGCAATAGGTGATGGGGGAGGTGATGATGATGATGGAGGTGATGGTGGTGATGGAGGTGGTGATAGTGGTGATGGAGGTGGTATTGGTGACGATTGATTGGGTTTGAGAGGTGATGGTGGTGGAGGAGTTGATGATGGAGGTGATAGTAGCGGTGGAGATGGAAGGAGATGGTCTTGGTAGAGGTGTACGAGTGGTGGGAGGTAGTGACGATGTAGACGATGATGTAGGTGGTGGCGATGTTCCTGACGATGTGTCGGTGTTGGAAGTGCGCGGTACCTGGCGAGCGGGCGCCCTGCGCAGTCAGCTCCAGGGGGGGGGGGAGCCAGGGGGAGCCGGGGGGAGCCAGGTGGAGCCAGGGGAGCCGGGGGGAGCCAGGTGGAGCCAGGGGAGCCGAGACGCCGCGGTCTCCGCCGCTCCTTCTCGGTGGAGTTTTGCTCCTTTGCCGGCAGCGCGCGACGGGGCGGCAGGGGGAGGGAGGAGCTGGTGGGTTTCCGGTGCGGGGCCCTCGATGTGCGAGACTCTCCCAGATCCACCCAGGTCCCCTCCCTCCCTCCACCTCCGTAAACAATGCGGCGTCAACCTCCTCCCCCCTCCGCTCTCCACCCCGGCTCCTCCAAAACCGCATCCCTCCTCTTCGCTCCCCGTGCGCGCTCTGCGTTGCGCTCCGGGCACGAATTCACGTCAATGTAGACACACGCACACAAACTGTTGGGGCAAGTGTTGGATGTGTGCACCTATTAATGCCGGTACGGCGTGGCAAAACACCACGCTCGACCGCCTTTGTATCCACGGTGCTGATATTTACACACCGCACCAGGTGCTCACTTGAGGCTGAGTCGACCTAGGGGAGCCCCCAGAACCGGTTCAGACATTCGCTCTCACTGTTATTGGTCGTGAGCGGGAGTCAAACTCGGATCGCCGGCGAGTTCGTAGCGCCGCATTACAGCTCCCCATATACGCGTAGACATATACACACAGACACACGCTACACTCATATACACGAGCATCTACAAAGACAAAGATCCCCCGTATAGCCTGTAACAGACTGTTGGGGCAAGTGCTGTTAGCGAGCATCTATGAAGACCGTCACAGCACACGAGGAGTGGGTAATCAACACCACGCCCGACCGCCCTTGTCTCCCCAGTGGCGATGTTTACAAATCGCACCAGGTACTAATTTGAGGCTGAGTCGACCTAGGGGAGGCTCAGGACCGGTTCAGATAATCGTCACTGGTATTGGCGGTGAGCGAGAATGGAATCCAGATCGCCAGGTTCATAGCGCAGCGTTGGCCGCTAAACTACCGCACAAACATACAACACTAAGTGGCGGTGACGTCACCACGGCGCTTGTGCCAGGCTATGTGCACGTTAAGGCCACGTGAAATGTCGAACGCCAACTGACAGGAGGTCACGGGGCAGACCCAGATGGTGCCATGGGTCGACTGACTGAGATGACTGGCCGACGCCACCACCTGTGTCCTCTACTGTGCCAACTTGCTGTGTTTTAGCCGCCAGGCGCTCCGCTCGCTGTTGCATTTAACGAGAGAAATAGTGCACGGCGCAGAGGCGCGAGGAGGCACCACAGACAAGCGGCGAAACGGCATCTGCCACAGGCGAGTGGTTGGCAAATCCAAATCACAAGAAGAGCCATTTCTTTTCGAATTCGGTAATGAAAAAAAAACACTCAATATTTCAAGCGCCGCAATGCACGTAAATACGAGACGTTCCTTAATAAATAACGGTCACGAAGCAGTCCTTTAAAGAGCCGCATGCGGCTCCGGAGCGGCAGGTTGCCGACCCCTGAGCCAGGCAATTGCCCAAGCTCTATGGTCCTGTATTTATAAAAAAATGTTTTCAGCCAGTTAATGAGTGTGTACACGTGTGGGTTACTAACACGCTGCCATACGCGTGCTCATTCTCACACTCACGCACGATTACTCTCACGTCGGGGACACGTGTCAATGGGTAACCACGTGACTCATCTATTCACCAGGCGGTGGTGGCTACGCTGCGGCGAGGATTGGTGGATCACACACAGATATTGCGAAACTCCCTTCCCGTGGGTATCGAGGGGGCGTCATGCCCGGGCTCACCGGGAAAAGGCTGCACGGCAAAATGTGGACTAATTGCCATTTGTTTCCATCTGTACGGGGATAGAGTATTGCCCCCTCGCACACATGGGGTTTCTCTGGGTGCTCCAGTTTCCTCACCCATACATGTACAGAAACATGTATTAATGGATCGAATTGTATTATTTAAATAAAAAAAACTTAATGTAGCGGCAGGACCCTTCTGAAAAAGAGTCCTCCAATTCAGTGAGGCTGTCCTGAACAAGTAAGTGACGGAAATAAAAAAAAACATAACTAGATATACAAGGCTTCGCTATCGCCACGTGGAACACGCGAACCCGCTCGTCATCATCAATTAACGCGCCGGGCAAGTCACGTGGCACGCGACTGGAGCTCTGCTCACGATGCCAATCGTCACGAATTGACCGTTAACTTGGTTCTTTCGGTAAAGTCACGTAGATAAAAAAAAATACAAATTAAAAAAGCAAAAAACCACGATAAAAATTGTACAATATTTTTTTTAATACATTGAAAATAATAAAACCAAAAACCCCACGACGTTTCGATCGCAACACAAGCGGTCGTGTTTAAAAAAAATGTGTGTTCTATCTCCGTGACTTTACCGAAAGAACCAAGAATATGTATTCCTGCAGTCACGAAAGTTTTAAGTAAAAATTTAACTTGACCGTTAAGGCCACGTTTCACTCGGGAAACTTCAGGGAAAACCGTTGCCGGCAATGGGTTACCGCAGCACTTCCCCCCCCCCCCCATTGTAAACATCTCACTGCCCCTAATCTGAACGCGTCTGCTGCTCCCAGCTGCCCCTGGCACCGTGACACGAGCAAACACCGCGAGATCGACGCTCATCCTCCAACCGCTGCCGCCGTGGTCTGCAACTTCCATCTCAAGCGAAGATTTGTTTTGGCATTCGCATGACTTACGGACAAGTGTGGTTGGAAGTGGGAACTCTACGTCTGTTACGGTTCCCAGAGGCACACTTTGCAGCAGTGAGCATTGGTGACTCTACTGTGCTGATGAGTCCCGTGCTGACGGTGGCGAGATGTTAACTATCTCGCCTGGTGGACAGGAGGTCGTGGAGTTCGATCCCAGCTCTGACGCTTGTATATTTCGAGTTTGCATGTTCTCCACGTGGTTTTTTTTATCCGGGTCCTCCAGTCTTTTTACCTCCACAATTAGAAACATGCGTTTAAGAGTATTTGGCTACTATAAATTTCCACAAAAAGCCACTTCGTTCAGCTATCGTTTGTGGACAGATAACTTTTGAAAAAGAGCTGGATAGCTCTTTAATAGTTTATTAATTCGGACGAAACCCGGGCCAACACAATAGGACCACAATGCATTTCTTCAGGAACTGCTGCTCATGTTGTTGCACTATTGCAGTGTCCGTGTGTGCTGTTTACACATGCGTGCGCGTGTGCGTCTTGTTTGAGACCCCCCCCCCCCCCCCCAGCAGTCTGCGCTGTCGCCTCCCTGCCCCCGTTCAAGTCCAGGCTCAATATTTTCCTTCCCTGCCCATGTCCAGCGTCTTTTAACCTCACCATGCTCGTTTACCCAGGGGAGCCTCACCGAGTCTCGTAACTCTTTTTTTCATGAGGGTCCTCTGCAAAGTTTTGGCAATAGCAGGGGACGATGTTGTTACGTGGGAATCGCAATCAAGTCATTTGCAGGTAACTTTAACAGCAGTTGGAATGTTAACGTCCGATACCGGGTACGTTGTGTATTGGGTATGATATTTTTTTTTAGCTGTGCAAGGAAACCGCAGAAGCCGGAGGAAACCCATGCAGATCAGGGGGGGGGGGGAAGGACGGAACAAAATCCTCCAAAGAAAAACATCCCCCCGTATAGCCTTAACAGGCTGTTGTGGGAAGTGCTGTTTGCGAGGAGCACCTATGAAGACCGACACGGTACACGAGGAAGGAGGTGGCCAGCACCGCTCCTGACCGCCCTTGTCTCCCCAGCGGCGATGTTCACATACCGCACCAGATACTCATTTGAGGCCAAGTCGACCTAGGGGAGACACAGGACCGGTTCAGATCATCGTCACTGGTGCTGACCGTGAGCAAGGAATCGAACCCGGGTCACACTTGTCCGTAGCGCAGCGCGCTATCCGCTTCACTATCGCTCCAGACACACGCATGCGTTCACGCAGACGGCATTATACGAAAACCCGTTAATTGCCCATGTCGATGTAAACCCCGTTTGCAAATCCACTGCTGGATGACAGCCTCCCCCCAAGCGAAGTGGGCCGATGTTGGGATCATTTAACATGGCGATCGCTGGCTGCGTTAACCGCAGAGTGGATACTCCGTGCCGTCTGCTTCTCAGCCGTGGACGTGATGAAAACGAAATCCCGCGACGTCATTCGCAAGAGTTAAGCCGTGTTCTGTGCCCGATGTCAAGAGTCCAAATTTGCCAATTACGAAAATCTCACCGCAAATTCACTCAATTGTTTTAATATAATTTTATGGTATTCCTACATACGTGACTTTACCGAAAAAAACAATGAGTTAAGGATGGAAATCGTATAGAATTAAGTTAAACGAAGAGGGAGGGGGTGATCATTTTGGACCCACGAACGCAACCCTATTTTCCCCATAGAATCAATTACTTATCGAAGGCGGATTTGCCAAACACGGCATTTTACAGGAACATAACCCCCGCGTTCGGCGAGGTCTGCCTTTTATTCGTAAAAACACAAACCTATATGCAAGAATAATAATGATTTGATCGTGAAAAGGAGGCATATGAATCTGCCCGGAGTAACGTTTCCAATCAGTGACGTGAGCCGTGACATACGGATCATAAACATGGAAATTGGCGACAACAACAAAAAAGTGGAACCAAAACTGAAAAGTGCGCAAGGAAGCGGAGGAGAGACGCATGCCCGGAACTACACCGAGCGACGGAAAGAGGAAGAGCACACGGATTACTGAACATAAGCAAGACGGACACAACATCGCAATGACCGTTGAGATGGGCGAGTGAGTTTTGGGGCCAGGTCACGACATGAGCTAGGAGAAGGGATCGTGTCCGACGGACGGCGAGACTGGCGAAGGAATGTCACCCAAAACGAGAAAAGTGTCCGAGAGCACGTCCACCGCAAAGGCGGAGCGACGAAATCACGTTGGGCGCAGGGCGAACGAGATGGGTCGCTGTGGTGGCGGCATCGTGGGACCGTGCAAGATGGTGACGACGTGGGAAGTAATTCGTCATAGACCATGGCTGCTGCTGCTGATGACCAACACACCCACAAAGCTTTGGCGGGGCTGTGTCGGGGTTTCCTTGCTACCGTGGCCGCGTAGTCCGCAGTTGTCATCTGTTTTCCACAATAAACAGAATCAGAATATGTATTTATATTGGAGGAATCCGATGAGCTATACAGCTTTTTTTCACACAAAAAGACTGGCGTGCAATCC